TGGCTGTTTGTTTTCTTGTTTCCTGATTATTTGGCATATTTTATTACTCATTTATGATGCTGACTTTCATGCAAAAATGAGTGAAAATAAGTATGAATGTTCTAAACTGGAGCATGTGAGTAGATCAGGCAAATGCTTGATTTACCAGCAGGAAGTAAAGGTTTCCAGCTAATGATCTAGTGATAGTCATGCAACAAGGCGTGAAAAACTCATGCCACAAAAGTATTACGCAGAATGATTTGCTGTTTGTTTGTTTTCCTTACCTCATTTCCTACAGTAAAAGTATGAAGACAATGGTTTAACAGGATCAACCATATGCTATTAAGTTGTCCACCCATGTTTCTGTGGTTCCATTTCCATCCAACCTGGTAAAGTTATTCAAAATGAAAAGGTTTATAACAGGAATGATTTTAAAATAGGTATAACCTAGCAACAGGCATTCTATCAGAGTCTCCTAAACAGGAGATCGAAAAGGGCACAAGGACATGCAATACATTTCACCAAGAGCCTAGAGGACAATTGCCACCTGCATCTGCTTTAAGGTGCAGCAGAGGAAAATGATCAAAAGTACTATATACCCACTCTGTTGGCTTTGCTGAAAGGCTGATTCCCTTAAGCATCTTCTTTCTCATAGTTACTCATGAAAAGAACTTGGCAACTTTAAAAAATGTTCTTCTCCCCCATCTCTGACGCTGACTCCTTGTGTTATCATTATTAAACTGTAAACCTAAAAAGAGTTACTAGCTGTGTGTTTTCTCTTTAGATTACAGTATAATGCTAGACTCCGGGTCCCTCCCCCCTTTTTGTTTCTTTTTCATTGATATGTTAAACATGTTCTTTATGTTCTTGGAGCCACCTGGACTGGGCCCTGTTTGAAGCTTCACCAATGACTTTATCCACCAGCTGGTTTCTGGCCGTACGTCCAGAGGTCTGGAAGGTCTGCTTTTCTCCCTGTTCTGAGCTATATATACCCTCTGCAGTTACAGATCAACTTACGCTCTCCAACTGTCCACCTGATACTTTCTACATTAATCTCCAGGCCAGAAGCTTTTTCTGATAATTTAAACACAGCCAGCGTCGCTGTCATACAACAATCCTGACTTATGACACTGAATTATAATAATACAATACAGCACAATATCCCCGTCTAACAGAAGAATGAGAAAGGCACAGAAGCATTCCTTCTTTTCTACTCAGTCAATCTGGTTCATTGTTTATTAGCCATTGCATCCAAAGAATATAACAACAAATGAAAAGTATTGATTCCTGATCTCCTTAAGCACTTTGAACAAAAAGATCAGGACTAATATACTATACATAACTTTTTAAATGGTTGGTGATAGTATGAGTAACAGACAAGCAACTGCAAAGCACAACGTATGAAAGGGGAAAGGTTAAACTCTTCCTAACACAAGAAGGAAATACAGATGCAATAATAATCTTAGGCTTTTCTTTCATGCCTTTCTCAAAAGTACTTTAAGCACATATGCATAGCATGTAATCACATCTGTAAGCACCTAATCCCTAACAAATGAATTCAAACAGAATGGAATGCCAGAACTACTGTAGAAATCATAAAGATACTCTAGTCAAGCTAGACATGCTTTGTTCATTTTTTTCAATGGCCATTGTGCCTTCCTTGTGAGGTCTTTAGACAAAATCAGCTTCAACATTCAGAGTAGTAGAAACAGTTTAATGAACAGGTGAAAGGAAGGGATGCCCATAAAATAGCAAATGAGATTTTTTTAAGCCCCCAAAAAACATTTGGATTTTGTTCCTTCTTCTTCTTCTGCTGTGTATAGTATTGGCAGAAATCTTACTCTAATTCTTTCATTCAGGGACATCCATGGTGTGTGTGTGTGTGTGTGTGTGTGTGTGTGTTAAAAAAGTCGTGATGATCAAAATCCCACCCCTTTTATGTGCAGGGCTGTGATTGTGCACTTGTGGTTGCCGTCTTGACTTTTTGAAAATGCTCCTGATTTCATTTAATATTGTAATGGGAAGAAGGAATAATCTTGAGCAACAAGAGAAAGAGCCATAACCAATGCAACAGTCAGACAAAATCAATCTCAGTCCAGGGAAAAAATATGGTTTGAGAAAGTCTCTCAGACTTGATGCTCTCTAGTTCTCTTGAACATAAAGGATGGCGGGGGGGAAGTGTATTCAGACTTGCAAGATTCTGTCAGTGTAACCTTATAATAAAGGAGTATTAGCATCCATAACTTTGGTTTCCTAGTCTGGTCTACCTTGAAGGGTTGACAGATATTGTTTATGATCAGAGGGAAGAAGGTATAATTAATTAGTTCTCAGAGCTTATGTATTAGAGAGAAAGGGGGTTTGGGGCCGCACATTCAGTGTTCTTGCTATGAACACTCCAGATTCTCCTCCTGCCCTTTGGGACATCTGTTGGAGGGGGGGAGGCCTATGTACTTAGAAGCCTCAAACATTAGCAGGGTTGCTGCTTATATGGAAACATATGTGCACACAGTTGTCCGTGCATAGATTCTCTTCCTGCATGTATCATTTCAGTGATGTTGGCAGGAAGTGGGATATAACCAGAATTGTCACATGATAAGAACTCCAATATCTGAATGCTTGAACACAGTGTTCTTTATTACAAATCTAAGAAGGGTAGCATAGTTAGGCTGCTGCAATAGTCCCCAAAAGCAAGCCCTTGGGCGTTGTAAAAGCAAATTATTGTGGGATAAAGTAGCAGGCCAAATTAATTAGATGCATAAATTCATCACTACAGTTTACTGCACATCTCCAGCTTTGAGGACAATGCAGAGCATAAATGAATGGATCCCATTTCCAATTAATAGTGTTGCATAGATACAGACAGACCAAAAGTTTGCACAAGCAGAGTAATGGCAGACAGTCATTTTGTAAGTGTGTGGTGAGTTGATTATTTTCTGAATTTGCTGAAACTAAATTTCATAATGTCAGCCCAATGCAGCAGCTTCATCCTAGAATTGACTGAGTCTGAATTTAGCAACAGTATTCATTCTATAGTCATATTTGAAAAAGGAAAGTTGTGGATCTTCTTCCTCTTCTTCTTCACCACCATCATCAGATTACTCACTAATTTTGTCCTTAGACAATAGTAAAGAATATTGCACAGTATGTTCCATGAGTAGACTGAAATCCGTTTCAAATTTTGCATTTCTTTTGAAACAGTAGGAATTGCATTTGCCTTTTAAAGAATTTTGGCCTTGATCCACATATCCTTGCATAGTGTTCTAAACAAAACATTAGATCTGTACAAAACATTCAACAAGACTTCACCAAAAGTGGTGTCCTATGGTTCCTCTAAGGAATCCCCAGTGGAAGCTTGGCTGCCATGTTCTGATTACCTGCAGTTTTCTATAGGGCTTTGTACTCTTAAATCTGTTTTTGTAATGGTGAGCTTTTATTATTAATGCTTTGGTTTTATATTGTAAATTCTACTGACTGGTTTTACCTGGAGTGAGCAGGTTATAAATGTGTTAAATAAATGGATAATTGAGTAGTATATTAGTATAAAGACAGCAGGTAGTTATATGTGTTTCTGGCAGAACACATGTTACACCTCTGCTTTGCAAGCTGCATTGGTTACCAGCCTGTTTCTGGAATCAATTCAAGGTGCTGGTTTTGACCTTTAAAGCCCTTCATGGCATGGGACTGGATTATTTGAGGGACTGCCGCTTCCTGATTTCATCTGCCTGTCCCACTAGATCTAGCACAGTGGTTATCTTATGGCTTATGTTGTCTAGGGAGCTACATTTGGTGGGCCGTAGGCGGCAGGACTTTTCTGCTGTAGCATCTGCATTGAGGAACCTTCTCCCCCCAGAGCAGAGATCGGCCTCATCACTCCTGAGTTTTCAAAGGTCTCTCAAGACCTAGTTATGTCAGCAGGCCTAGGGACCTCAGGGGTCAGGTGAACTAGTGAGGTGGCTTTATTATTTACATCCCTTCGCTTATTGTTTTCTGTTTTACTTCTGTTTTTATAGTTTTTAATGTTTTAAATAATTACTATTTAATGGTTTTTTTATGTAATGATGTTTATATATTTATTGTTTTATTGGATTGTTGTACACTGCCCAGAGTCATTTTTTGTGAGATGTGCGGCCATATAAATTCAACAAATAAATAAATAATAAATTTTGTTCTGTTGAACACTCACATTCAGCCATCTCACATTCAGAGATCTCAGGGGAAGAAATTTGCCCTTCATCTTAAGTGCATTTGGAATATATATTCAGGCCTAAAGACCTTCACAATCCATTTATTCCCTGTTTTCCTATGAGTCAAATGTACTGATTTAACAGGATCTATGAGAAATATCATTTCAGAAGCTGCCTGTTCATTGACAGAAGCCATTCTACTTACCTGAAACAGAATCCCACTGCTGTTGACTCTGGAAGGCTTGACTGTACCTGCATACTAATTTGCTGGGTATCTGTTCAGAACCCCCAAAGCAGGCATTTCTGTCAGTTGCCATGGCACTGTCACGCTGTTCCTCCCTCTCAACAGCTTCACTTATCAACATCTTCCTCTGTCCTCTATGCCCAGTTCATTCACCCAGAAAGTTCAGCTTTGGAACAATGCCTTGAGGAAGGGCGGAGGGAGGGCAAAGGCCTGGGGTGAAGAGGTAAGCCTTGTTCATAGATGTCTAAGGGAACTTGGTTCTGTGACCCAGATAGGAATTACAAAACAATCCACGTCACATTCATGCTGTGGTGTTTGAAAAGAGATTCACACATTCTTGTAGATATGCACATATACAAGTTCTCATGAAAGCAGAACCAGGATGAGTGTGAGCTCCAGCTCTGGCTGGTTTCAACTCTGTTCAGATGCATAAAAGAGCAAATGGAACATTCATGTAGCATGCCTGTGTGGTTGAGTTGACTCTCAAATGCACCAATTAACAGCCAAGCCTTCTCCTCTGACTGACACAAGCCCTGCTGTTTGTCTCTCTGTCCCCCTCTGTTAATTAGAATCTGTTTCTTTCTTCTCTACAGGACAGCTTTCCTGCTCGCTTTGGAGGCATCCATTTTGTGAACCAGCCATGGTACATCCATGCCCTCTACACGCTAATCAAGCCCTTCCTGAAAGACAAGACACGGAAAAGGGTAATGAGAAAATGAAACAAGTCTGTGATGTTGCAAGCCTGCAAGTGATATAAGGGAATTTCTACTCTTCTCTACATCTTTCTTTATCTCTTTGTGGTTTGCAACAAGAGATGAGGTCTCAGCTGGATTTTTTCAGCAGCCTACATATAATCACTATTTCAGCGGGAGAGAATTATTTTCACATTCCAAGCCAGGTGTCAGAAAATCTTTCATCATATGCACATGGAAAAGCAACTTTCTGTAAAACATAACATTATCTTTTTTTCAACCCAATGCCCTTTTAATGTGATGGACTACCATTCCCCACATTTCCTACCTGCAATAGATCTGGAAGACATCCAGGTCACAATAGGCTGCTAAGCACAGAGATAAAATAGATAGATAGCATCTCAGGGCTATGGTAGAAAAGAACTAGCAAAATTCCAAAAAAAACTTTATTTTCCAGGTAGTTTAATCTTGGGAGAAATCTCTTATTTTGCTGTTTAGCACACTGCCTTTCATGAAACAGGATGAGAACAAATCACTGATGACACTTAAATAATTCAAACCTCAAATGCTACTATAAAAGAAAAGAACTTGGGATATTAATTTTTATCATGCATACATTGTTGTTGTTGTTCAGTCATTAGTCATGTCCGACTCTTTGTGACCCCATGAAGCATATTGCGCCAGGCCTTCCTGT